GCGACAGACAACAAAGCTTTGTAAAATTTTACAACTATATTTATATACCTAGAATGCAAAATGAAAATGAGAAAAAGCAACGTACGGTATTGCGAATCAAATTCCATAATGATTAAAGATTTAGAGACACACGTCCTGCTAATCTAAAGTCCTGAATAAAATTCAGCAAAAGTCAAGTTAAAACAACTCAAAAGTGAAGTCTATGGCGTGTTTGTGGTAGTTATTAAAGTTTTAATGTGTCAAAAGTCTTTTGTTGAATCATAGAAATATAGGTTTCAGTTCATTATAAATTCCAGTGAATGTCTTTATCAGAGCACTTTTGTATTTACAGAGAAAATAGACACTTGAATTCAATAATTTGAACAAAAAAGATTCTAGCCTAAAAACTACTGGTCATAATATATAATATATAACATAAACGTGCCATTACATGATTATACAATTCTCTACTTAAGCTCAGGTCAAAATTTTATAAGACAATTACCAAAGTATTTAAGACTAGTTACAATAGATATGTGAATATATCAGAGCATAGATATTTGAATATTTGTATATTGGTATGAGTTGTGATGTAAACGTATACGACTGATTGTTTTTTTTTTTTACTGATTTGTGTAATGGACTTACGAGTATGTACTGGTGTGAAGCAATTTATTGTTATATGGATGAGAGCAATTAATACCGTGCTTTTATTATGTTGTGTTATTATGTATTTTACCATGCACGAATGTAAGTGTATATCCGTGTAAATGAATGCGTGACCGGTGAAATTTAATAGCCTTATCTGATGATAGGCTTTGTTTAGTGTGAGATGTGAGCACTGTAGAAAATATGGTACCCTCCTTGTGTTTTCACAGGAAACTTTTCGGTGACAAAATTTACGGTGAAAGTTCGTAGTTCCGAGTCTCTAAGAGGGAGACGGAAGTGAGACTGACAATGCAGTCGGAGTCGACAACGTGCAGTGGACATATAATAGAGGGATAGAAGGGGAGGAGGAGGTAAGTTATCTGGAGGAGGGAATAGTGGAGGAGGATGAGAAGGAACTTAAACGGAATCTAGGAGGAAGAGAGGGAATTAGGAGATAGAAAAATACACAGATGGGTAGAACACGACAAGTGAAAATCTCTCACACTACGAATCAAATGATAAGATAGGCTAGTAAAGGGTCGAGCGGACGAAGTATATTTGGGAAATTCGAATTATTGACCATTTAAGTGTTATTAAAATGTCATTATTGAACTCCACCCTTTTGTATCTTTAATCATTTATCCGTCGACATTGCTGACTGGGGCCTCGGAACTATACATCTAACTTTAACTAAATCAACTTCCAAACCAAAATCGAGCCTAGGTAGGACTTCTACCATAATTTAAATAAATATTAGAAAGCACCTCACCCCCAATCCGCCACAACCAAAACATCGCAGTGGGGCGACCTTTTACAAAACCCAAGGAGATAAATATGATGTTAAATGAAAAACAAGCATAGCAAAATACTTCCACTGTGTGAATGGCGAAAACTAGACCTTGCATTATAACAAACGTACAGAAATGAATGGGCTTGACAAGAAAACCAATTAGCATTATATAAACCCACATGTTGGCGAAAACAACATCCAGATGATGACACAATGCAATCTACTCTATGGCCTTTAACTAAGAACCAGAAAAGGCAAAACAAACATAAAAAATTTAAGCAATAATTTAATTCCCTAAACTGCAAACTGAAGATTTACGGGAACTTCCAGTGAAAAATAATCCTCAATGGTCTATCACAAGTTTAAAAGTATAAACTATTCTAAATAAATTATAGGTCTTTAGTGTGATGATGTACCAATAGTTTTTAATATGCTGATGTATAACAATGACATCATCCAGAATATTTTGAATAGGTTTTGATGTATCACAATGATATAATCCAGTATGTCTTTGAATGAGTCCTTAATAGTCCCCAAAGAGTGTTTTAGTCCAAATAGTCTTTGCTACTTTGATGTAATGTGGCTGACATTTTTTGAATATTGTACTTGTCGAAATTGTAATTGATCTTAGCTCACTGCTAACTAAAATGAATGATCCATTGTGCTCCAAAAAAAATAGCCTGAATTTGTCTAAAGTACACTATCCTTAGCAGCTACTAAAATACGGAAAATGAATTTTGCCAGACTAGACAATACCAGCTTCTGAAAAAGCAATGAATGAAGTACGAAATATATAAATAAAAAAATAAAATGTTATCAGCTCTTTTTTAACAATTTACCTCTGAAGTTCAGAAAGTGAAAATGACTAAGTGGAGCTAGCACCTTTTTGAATGGAGCACATCTGGAGTAAGGCCAAGCTGCATACTCTACAACCCATATTACAGTCACCAATATTACTCCAAAATAATGGAAATTAAAGGCTCTTTTAAGAAAGATATTAAAGGTCTTTTTAAATAGCCAGTATAACTAGTAAGAAAACCTTGGGAAATTCTTTTTCAATACAATTTTAATCCGATGTAAAAGACGAAACTGTAGAGCGCCACCACAGCAAAAACATAAAGATATGGGTTTAGTTAAGTTCATCTTAAGAAACCGAAACCGTCCCCATGATCGTGAGAGTCAAGATCGTCAAATAATGAAAGTGACTCTGGCACTCCTGTGGATTTTTTATATTGAATCTGCCATGAACCTTATTTAAAAACAAATTCGAATCACAGACAACACATACAAGAACAAGAGGTAGCGGACACGTATATTACGGACTTGTTTAACTCTGTCTTGTTGGTGTTTAACCGCTAATGTCACAGAAGATTACGACCCATAATGCTATAGTCTCCATATGGTCCAACGGTGTCATTCTAATTTAAAAGTTCCATAGGGAACATTTAAATTACCCAAGATCAGTCTATAATCTTATAATTGAATAGTGCTTCAGATCATCATCCATGGTGTTTTAGTTCCATATCTTCCCCCAGTTAAATTTCCATGGGCACCCAGAGACAGGAAGCCTCTCTATTCTCCTTAATTACGTACAATATATCCGTAAAAGTGCTAATTTAATAATGCTTCCGAAGCAACCTATTTCAGCTGCACAAGCTTTTCATAACATGGGTATCATATTTATCTTACCGGAAGCAACATTTTCCATTTATGGTTCACAATATTTGGCACTTGTTACCAGGATATGATCTCATGATGGCAGCTTTATTTAAGATAAACATAGAAAATAGATATAAAAATTCTTGAGTTAAGGTATTCCACATCAGCACATCACAATCAATTCAACAAAAATCATCTCCTTATTACATATAAACTCAAAATAACTATAAAGATGACGCAAAATATTATCGATAAAATATAAATCTGACCATATATCAAATGTATTTCGAGTACACTGTAGCGTCATATAAAGCCAATAGCGATCAGTCGTCACCAGAACATTAATATTAAACTTTGAAAAAAAAATAATCTACACAGGCGGCATCTAATAGCTCCATATCTGCTTTTTAAAAATAAGTGGCATTTAAAAGCGTACTAAATTGCCAGATTTATAATATTGTTAATCAGAATATGAATATGAAAAATAAAAGTTATGATTTAAAAAAAATCGTATTGGGAAACAAACATAATGGCATGAATCTTTATATGAGGTTTTGAATCATATTTAAAAAAAAGAAACCGACAATGTTCGTGAATATTCAAGTTCAAGATAAAAAATAATAGCATACGGGAACTATGATTAATAGACAGATAAGCAATGCATACTACAGCCTTACATCTACAGGTGAAGGAAATATAACTAAAGATACATTTACTCTTAGCATAATAATAGTGTCACGATTTAACACATTATGTAAAACTGAAAATAAAAATAGTTTGGTAATTTTACAATGTTGGGTATACGATAGTAAACTGCTTACTCGTTCGTCCGGAAAAGAGGGCAAATAGACAAATAAAAGGTAGTCTTGTCGGATGTATAATTATAGGTACAGTAATTACAATTTCTTACCTAAAGTTATATATTTTCCCATCGAGCAGTATTGATGGGAAGCCTTGATTGGAAGCCATAACCTTTAGCACTGGCAGATACATATTTTGAGGTCAACGTTTAGTAATTTCTTTAGATCAGATCTTGTTGAATGCGTAATAAGATTTCTTTTTAGAAGCTAAAGTTATAGCAGCATGCAACTATTGAATACCAAAGTAATTTCAAGTCACGTCAGTCTTGTCTTTTGTTGTATTTTAGCATTAGTTAAAAATTTGTAAATTAACAGATCTGATGTTTAGAGAGATTTCAATTTTTTACAATTCATCTATGAGAAAGTCTTTGAATAACTACTTGCTGCTTACAAGTATTGTTTTTAAAGAAGTATTGATACGTTTTATACTTGCCATTGCATATTGGAATCTAAAATACATCATTCGAGATTTGACATTGACATCTATTACTGTTCTTCCAAGTTCTTCAAGGTATACTTTTTCGCTGTTTTGTAAAAATTACATGTTGAAAGTTATTTTGATATTTTCCAGTCGTAAGACTTCACCAGTCGCCGGCCCGAGGATATACAGGAACCCAAGGCAGCAAGGGTCGCCAAAGACAGCAAACAATGAGCGAGGGGCCCAAACCAACAAAATTGCATTGCGAAGAAGTGCGTGGCCAAAATCGGTTGCCTCGTTCGCCTTGCCTTAAGGCCAAACCTTAGCTTCACACCCAGTAAAATAGCTAAAATGGTAAGATTGAAAATCGATTGACTTTGTAGAATTCATACAGAACATGCATTTCTGATTGAGTTTCGTCAGTCGGATGCTTTATTACTGTGTGATTTGGATTATCGCTAACATGTCAGCAGTGTGGCAGTTTGTAGTGATGTCTAGCACTGGGGCATCATGCCGCAGACATATAGCATGATGTCCCACCCAGTCGCATTATCCTGGCACTAGGTCGACCACTCCTATCACTAGTCTATTAATGCAGAAAGTCAAGCGAGGCAGAAGTTAGTGCCATTTTTGTAAGTCTTTGGTATAACTCAGCCGTGGATCGAACCCATGACCTCCTGCATCGGATGCGGATGCTCTAACCACTAAGCCACCAGAGCGGTGTTAAATCTTTCAATGTTAATTAAAGATAAGTTCTGAATATTTCAAATCAGCCAATATGTCAATCACGTTCTCACCAATACTGACTTAATATGTATAGACATTTCGTTTACCAGATATGCATATATTTGGTTTAGTAAAGTTTATATTTATTTTCCGTACCTTTTAATATGTGCAACATAATTTCAAATTATGTTGTGAAGACTTCGCAACAGCCACATTGTGTGGTCTAAAAAAAGGACGTTCACATCGCTTCGAATAACGGAGGAAAACATTAAAATGCAAAACCGTTTCCACTTTAAAAGTCTTACACGCGAGATGAATTTGTGTTGAAAAAATTGACTGAACCCTTTATGCCAATATGATAATTCGTTGAATTCAGTCCTAACCTATACATACCGTCCATTAGACAATGGGGTAGAGAAACAGCTTTAACACTAGAGTCGTGATATAATTCGATCCAGTTGTCACAGAATAAGGCTACAAATAACTCGGTTTTGCCTTCAATCTATTTTTCACCTTATTCATTGTAAAGGCGTACAACGTTACCTGGGGTGAATCACTCTGCTCTACGTAAAATTACATGCAGGCGGAAAGTCACGGAAAGGCATGGTTTACATGAACATTTGACCATAACTATTATTCATTCCTATGGATTTAAGATTGATACATTGTGAATAGAGACAAGTCATTTGGATTTTGTCAGTGGTGGGCGAACTTTACAACATCGTCTCTGGCCATAGGGGTAAGTTATGTTTTATTTGATTTGTGAAACCTTTTCTCGGTTTATGTTGTGTCGGGTATTAAAGCTTTGTTACACTTCTTGGTTTGTTATTACCATTTTAGTAATAAATAGTTTGGTTTTGTTTTAGGCTGTTGTAGCCTGTTGGAAACTATTGAGCATTAGTGGACACTATGTAGCCTATTGGATAGTGGACATTATGGACACTATGTAGCCTATTGGATAGTGGACACTATGTAGCCTATTGGATAGTGGACATTATGGAAGCTTACTGGACACTATTGGACATTATTGGACATTATTGGGCTGACAAAGTCTTATTGGAACTGACGAAATCTTATGGGAGATTCAGTGTCCGATAAGAGCTGACTATAGCTATCCGTGGTTGGATTGGATGTAGCAATCTGTATTGCAGCATGCCGTCTGCGTCTATATGTATGAATATATGTATGTATATGAATGAATACATATAATGGATCCGTGATGTATATGAACGTGGATCGGTAAGAAAGTGATCTGGGGAAAATGCAGAGTTCCAGTTCGTATACTGAATAAACTGTAGAGTGACACTTTGTCAATTGAATGACTAATCCAGTTTGCAGAGATGTGTGTTCATCTATTTGCGTATTTAGCTGAAAGCAGTATTATTTAGTCGAAACATAAGTAATAACATTATGAGTATTGCTCATTTATTTCTTTGTGTTTTGTCTCAAGAAATTTCGTGAATCTCATAGCTTAATGCGTACCAGAGATTAAGTGAATCTCATTTTTCATTTTACATAGTATATTTTTGCCTCTTATTTTAGGCTAAAGGCCAATGAAACATATTTTTGTATTTTTTCTTTCTTTATCATTTCATGAGTGTATATAGGATAAATTGCATCAATTGTATGATAGGAGTGTGAGAATCAGGGTGTTTGTTTTGTATTCATATATATATATATATATATATATATATATATATATATATATATATATATATATATATATATATATATATATATATATATATATATATATATATATATATATATATATATATATATATATATATATATATATATATATATATATATAGTTTTTTATTTTATAAATTCCAATCATTCATCGCTTTGTGTTTATTGTTATTTATTTTATCCAAACAGAGAAATCCTACTCGGTTTCAATTCTGCTACACCATTTGAGTATCGATGATGGGATCATCTATCATCTGTCTTTGATTTCGTATTGAGGTTTTAGTCCAGCAATGGCCATCACTATATTCATTAATGGCACTTAAATAAATATTTCTTTCAAGATGCATTATTTAAATGACATACCGGATTGATAGTGTAATAAGATAGTAATACCTGGGTTTTTCTTCTGGCAACCTCTTCGTTCTTTTGTATATTTTATGTCTCTTTGGTTGTTTGTTTTGTCATTTGTTTATTTCTTTTTTTACTTCATTTTATATTTATTTTCTTATATTGTATGTGGTTTTGATAAGACAATGAGATGATCTAAGTTAATCCCAAGGTGAAATATTTTCATTCAGCCTTTCTTTAACCGAAAGTCGACATAAAGTGATGCGCATGAAATTATTAACAGTTTTGTCTCCTAACAGATGCTTTGACTGACTGCACAATAAAATGACGAAACTATTAGCATACTCCTTACACAAAATCCGGAGGTTAATATGATAAAATATAATAGATACAAACAGTCATACATACAATTATAGTGTTATAAAAGATATACAATTTTACAATTGAAAAGAAAATTATACAATTTTATATAATTAATTGGTATTAAGGCCATTAGGATACAAAGTATCTAATTTATTTATCCAATAAGTCTCTTTTATAAATCTGTTCATGTCTCCATGCACAATATCTATTGGCATAAAAGAAAAATCGAGTAGACAGTGATTATGGGTGTTAAAATGTGTAGAAATATTAGATGAAAACTGAGGATCTTTATAATGTTTAATATGAAAGCGATGACTATTCATTCTTTTAGAAACTTGTTGAAGTGTTTGTCCAACATATTGCATGTTACATTCTTGACAGGTTATCAAATAAATCACATTAGTTGATATGCAGTTAGTGTTAAAACGTAGGGAAAATGTCTCTTTTGTGTTAGCGCTACTAAAAAAATTACTTTCTCTTATGTTTGCACATTGAGAGCATCGATATCTATTACATTTAGATGACGAGAATTGTTCTTTTTTATTTTTTTCTGTATGTTTAGTTCTAATTAAAAAATCTTGCAAATTCTTGGGTCTCTTATAAGCAACAATAGGCTTATTGTTGTAAAGGGATTTTACGCTGTTTTTATTTGATAAATTTAGGAGACTCCAATATTTATTAATTATAAGACCTATATTAGGTAATGAAGGATTGTATTGTATTGTAAAAGGAACTATATTTTTCTCCATTGTACAATTTGCTGTATTTAAAACCTCATTTTGAGAAAGATTACGGGTTTTGTTCAGCGCAGAATCAATGATATATAATATAAGTTAATATAGAAGTTAATATAGAAATTTACATCTGTAACACCTTAACTTACTTTGCATGTATCAATACTTTCTTTTTCTTTTTTGACAATTCATAGTTGGGAATTTTATATGAAACGTATGCTAGCATTTCGAAAATAAAACAAGAATTGGCAATATAAATTTCGAAGGAATTATGATACGTACGTATAGAAAAGATTGTCAGAATGTGTATACAAATTTATATTCTACTACAAGCACATTCCGAACAAAATAAACAGCCCATGAATTTACATGTTCTTATTTGAATCTTAATATGTAGATGAGAGAGAGAGAGAGAGAGAGAGAGAGAGAGAGAGAGAGAGAGAGAGAGAGAGAGAGAGAGAGAGAGAGAATTGTAGTAAATATTTTTATAAGGATATGTGTGTTGTAAATTGATTAATACCACTTCGTCATTTGCTTTCTCCTCTGTAACTCAACGCCCGTGTAATTTAGAATACCCTTTGGTCTTTTTACAAATTGCTGGTTAATCAAACACGTCCAATCATACACTACGATCCGGCGGCCTAGTGGTTAGAACGTACGCCTCGGTTGCGGAAGGTCACGGTTCGAACACCGTACGAATGATACCAAAGACTTACAAAAATGATACTAACAGCTTCCTTGCCAGACTGAACGTCATTAAGAGGTTAGTATTAGGACTAGTCGGCCTGTATCAGAATAATGTGACTGGGTGCAACATCCTGCTGCATGTCTACGGTATGATGCCAAAGTGCTAGACATCATTATAAAATGCCACTGTGCAGACATCGTAGCTATATAACTGAAAAATTGTTAAAGCTGCGTTAAAAGCTAAATTACGCAAACACACACACACATACATACACACATATACATACACACACATACACATTCATCCGCATTTAAATGTCCTATTTAGGTATTTTATCGAATCATTGCATGGCTGCAAGATGAAACTCTTCTTAGATGAGATCTAAAAGTACAGAGAAAGTCTTCGCTATGTCAGAAGTGATACGGTACGCAATGAGCAAGCGTCCATTTTAAGTTATTTCTGCCGCTGTTGCCTTTATCCATTAGCCAAATGGCCCTTGATGACTTGAGTGCTTATCGTTTTTTATTACAGATCCGTTTACAGCCCCGTGTAACCCCACAGATGATATTATACACTAATCCGACACTGTAGTTTTCATGAAAATTAAAGGAAAAAAAAACCAGGAGATACAACTTTTGACAAACCATTAAATCCGAAACATTATACACTAAACAAAGGACAGTTGGGTCAAGACCGCTTGAAGGTACCTAGAACATTTTGCTCTTCAGAATAAAGCACTAAATTAATACTATGGTAACTACCTGTCTATGTCTTTTCAGTTTCAATATTAAATGCATTTTATTAAACGCAGACACGTGGATTAGGAATGAAAGAAAGTTTGTGCATTCAAGTAGAATACAACACAAAAATAAACAAGCGCTTCTCCTTCACTTGTGTCACGATAAAGACTAGATCAAAGTGATAGACGATACTGCTCATACTTTATTACAGGAGATAAACTATTCTACGTAAAATTCATTGAAAACAAATTATCACCTGAAGAAATCCAAATCCATAGGTCGTTTTCTCGATGAATATTAGTCAATAATGATATTTGAAAAGATTCATTTGTATGGAAAGTAATAATTCAACGTTCGATATAATCTCAAATATTTTTATGACTACTCACTCAATGCATTTTAGAAAAAAATCAATCACAAAAAAATCTA